TTCCAGTTCTGTATTCATTGGAAAAAAACTGCATCACACTTTACATACTAACAATGTCCTGAAAAGTTTAAAGTTTTGCCTCTGAGAAAGCAAGTCAAGGTGACCACGAAGACCGAATGATTACATGCAAGGGTACTCACATAGTTAAAAATAAGATGCCACCATTTAAACAGACACCTTTTCTACTGCCAAATAAGTATTTTGTGTGTAGTGTAGGGATATTTTCTTCTACACAGATGATAAGCTCACACTTTCAGTTTATATACACACCGCTCTCCATTCTATGCATCCAGACCTGAGAAAGAGTAGTGACCTGAAGAGTCTAAAGAAATTTTAGTTGGAAAGTGTTTTCTGTATTTCAAATTAATTTACTTAACCATTCTACTGCTCTGTATTATGGTTAGCTTGAAAAGCCCTACAAATGCCACAGAGGATTTAATTTGTCAGAAGATAAAAGAAAAGGGATGACATCATGGCAACAAAATGTCAAAAAACTGTAAAACATTCAGATTTTTGAAGATTTTATTGTAGCCACAATATGCTAGTAATACTGAATTTATCACCAACATTGTCATCGTATTCCCCATCATATTCAGTCCTGAAAGCAAATAAAAAGCCAGTACAGGTTTGATGATTTTGTGTCAGCAGCACAGCTTATTTTAGCTAGTATTTACTATAGTCAAAGGCAATCACTTTTTTTTTTTCACTTGTGGGCAACTTTAGTTCATGGAAAATGGCCTGAGGAAGGAAGTGGTTCATTGTAAACATCTTATTATAAGAGGAAAGAAAGGATACATACATCAAGATCTAAATTTAATGTATAAGCGTCTTTCCTAAAGCCAGCAGCATTGTCTAACAAGTCTGTGAAACATCTTATATGATTGTTCTTAGACATTTGAAAAAGCATAGTGATAGCAAATAAACTAAAAACATGGAAAGGACGTGTAGTCAGCCTTATTAGAAAGCGAGTACAATTTTCTGCCAGCCAACGTGGTGAAGAACTATTAAGTAGCAAACTTAGCACTTGGGTAATTTCACTAGTATCAACAGAATATTCTTTGCTTATAACTGGGTTGGTTTGGGCCCTCTAGTATCTACTATACACAGATCAACTGCCAGTGGAGAAGTTGCTGCTGCTTTAGACAAAAATAACGTAACTCAGGAGCTTCGGTTCAGCAACCGAATTCACAGTGGAAGGTGAAGCTCTTCAGCTTCTGTAATGAATGAAGCTATGCTAGATCAACACATTCAGCACCCTCTTAATTTCTTGTGAAGAGATTACTCACCAAGAAGTATTGAATGGGATTTTGGGGTTTGCATTTACAGAAGAAGTTAGCTCAGTAACAAGCAATCTAGCAGGAGGGCTGACACTGGATTCTACCTGCACAACAGAACATACCTTTCATCTGGTTGTAATGAACGCTTGCTCTTCAGTACTACCCATTCCTCTTTCTCAGGGAGTCTTACAGTTTAATAATCTTAGTGAGCATTTGTATGCTGTTAATGTTGGTTTTCCAGGTAAAGTTTTATGCAATTTAAAATGCACATTCCCTCCTTGACTTACTTTTTGTGCACCTGCTGAGCTTGCGCACACACAGTTGGTGGCAGCACAACTGAGGAGGTCATACGGAAGCTTTACCCCTCCACGTTAATTTACTGTTGTGTCATCACAGTGAACAGTGAGAAAAATGCATTATTCACTCGGGAAGTTATGTCATTAATGCTGAATGTACCTCCACAAATGCACTGTATTAGTAGATTTAACAGTTAATATTTGTATTCCCATGTTTTTATTTATTTTTCAAAGTTTCTGTTCAACTAAGATTAAAATATACTTATTCATTTTATAAACTTTGTGAGATTCTGATAAAAACATGACAGATGTAGAATGTTTTCATTTTGAAAATCATTGCTCAGTCTTACAGTGACAAACAGCATATGTCTGTCTAAATACTGTTACACATTAATCTTACCTTAACCCTACATTCCACTAAATCTTTGTGTGCCTGCACATTGAATTCACACCAATAGATCATCATTTGGTCATTTTGTCAGCCGAACAGGCTTTGTCTCTTACTCCCTTGTCAGCCTCAGAGTTAATTACACTATTGTAGTGTGTTGTTGCTATTTGCACCTCATAAAAATTTAGATTCAAAAGCAAAGCAGCAGTTTCCATTCTGAACGGAGGGACTACACACATTTAACCACTGCTCAAGTCAATTTAGTTCTGCGGGAGTCCTGACGTGAGGAACACTGGTAACCAATGCAGGTGTTCAAACAAATACAGCTACTTGGTGGGTTGACCCTGGCTAAATGCCAGATGCCCACTGAGGCCACTCTTATCGCTCCCCCTCTTCAGCTGGACAGGGAAGACAAATAAAGGGAAGGCTTGTGAGTTAAGGACAGGGAAATCACCAGTTACCATCATGGGCAAAACAGACTCAGATTGGAGAAATTAATTTCACTTATTGCCAGACAAATCAGAGTAATCAGAAATAAAACCAAATCTTAAAACATCTTCCCCCCAGCCTTGCCATCTTCTTGGTTCAACTTTACTCCCGATTTTCTCTGCCTCCTCCCCTCCAGTGGGCAGGTGTGGAGGTTGCAGTCAGTTCGTCACCCGTTGTTTCTGCCGCTCCTTCCTCCTCAGGGGAGGACTCCTCACACTCTTGCCCTGTTCCAGCGGGGTCCCTCCCAGGGGTGCAGCCCTTCAGGCAGAGGCTGCTCCAGCGGGGTCCCCCGCGGGGTCACGGGTGCTGCCGAGAGCCTGCTCCAGCCCGCGCTCCTCTCTCCACGGGCCACAGCTCCTGCAGGAGCCTGCTCAGCGCGGCTTCCCGCAGGGTCACAGCCTCCTTGGGGCATCCCCCTGCTCCGGCGTGGGGTCCCCCCGGGCTGCAGGTGGGTCTCTGCTCCCCCGTGGCCTCCCTGGGTGCAGGGCACAGCTGCCCCCCCAGGGGCTGCCCCAGGGGCTGCGGGGGAACCTCTGCTCCTGCTCGGGCACCTCCTGCCTCGCTGCCCTCGGAGCTGCTGCTCCCACGTTCTCACTCCTCTCTCCCGGCGGCAGTTGCTGTTGCACAGCAGGTTTTTCTCCCCTTCTTAAATATGTTATCCCAGAGGCACTGCCACCATCGCTGATGGGCTGGGCCTTGGTCAGCAGCTCTACTGAACATGGGGGAAGATTCCAGCAGCTTCTCACAGAAGCCACCCCTGTAGCCCCCCTCCAGTACAAGCTAAAATACCACATGGAAGCCAATTCCTTCTGATTTTTTTTCACTGTATGTATCACAAAACATTAAATAATCCTGAAAAATATTTAATCAGGAGAGTCATCATGTTACTGATTGTTACCCATTTGTTATTAGGTTGAGTTGATGATTTTTGGAGATTTTGATAAGGAATGATTAGGACTAATCAATTAAATAGAATCTCACAGAAATACCAGGGTTTTTATAAAAGATAGTGGTGTCATGTTTTAAGTAGTCATAGAGATGTTGTATTTAGTTTAAGGTAACCATACAACTAGTTACACTGCTAGACAAAGTACCGTTGTTAGACTGCCTGGTAAGCTTGATTTATTGCCCTTATTGCGGTCGCAATAGCAGCCCCCAGACTCAATTCAGGACTCAGGTGTGCATGACCAGGAAGAGGTGGGAATATGAAAATGAGTTACAGGAATCATCATGTTTATGTATGGTAACTTGATTAATATGTATGAGTGTATCCAGTCTAATCAGCCTGTTACAGGACCCAGGTGTGCGTTGTTGGTGAGACACTCCCCCGCACACCTGGCCCTTAATAAAGGATGCCTGCCTAGCTGCATCCCACTGCTGTCCATAAGCTCTTTATCCCGTTTTGGTGGCAGTCGTATAGAGACAAACAAAAAAGGAGCCGCTCAGTAGCATTTTATAGTCAGCTTTGCAAGTATCTTTTGACTGCAGACCTAAATTAAACTTCTTAACAAAAAAATCTAGAGATTTTCAGCATTACATGATTTTTTTTTAAGGGCTTCAGGGAAAGCAGTAGTAATTAAGTTTATCCACATACAATATATTCTTGCTTTACACCCCCTTGTAGCTTTAGACTCTGAGTTTGTCCTTCATACTTGTATCTTTTCCTTTTGGTAAAGTCTAGCAAAGTGAACATAAATTGCTCATGGGTTTCTTGTACTGACCTACCCACTTAAATTCAGAAGTTGTGAGATTGTCAAAAGCAGTGAGCTTTGTTAGAGCAGACACCAGAGACAAATTTCAGTCCGCAGTCTCCCCAAAGAAAAAGTTTTCTAAGGTTTCTCACGCTACTGTGTCCAAACACAGGAAAACTTGCCCTATGCACCTCTCATTAAAGTAAACAATTGAGATCAGCAACAGGGGTTGCAAACTGCAGAGACCTCCTAAAGTAGTCATGAAGCGGGGGAAGGAGGAGAGTGAAGAGGCCCCAGGTGGAAGGAGTTAGGTGTGGTGGCACACAGGTGGGTGAGGCCACCGGCAGGCACAGCTGCAGGAGCCCCTGCACTTCGGGGGGCTGGAGAACAGTGCTGCTGTGCTTAACTTTAAAGGGAAAGGGTGTACTGGAGGGCAGGACAGAGCATGGACTGGTGTGTGTCAGATGACTCGTTTGTCATTGTCACTACTACTGTGACATAGCAGTGGGTATTTTCTAGTCTTGCATTATTCTAAATCCTCGTTGTCCTGGAAAGAAGATGGGATGGGGTGACTCTGCACTGGTGCTGGTCAGTACCACTAAGTCTTCCTGATCTGGGAACCAGGCAGCAGAATTAGCTTAATGATAAATCCTCTCCAGTTTAGCCTGCTCCTAGGCTGAGATGAACGTAAAAGGTAAGTGTTACTAGAATGATGGGCGAGTTGTTATTTAGGAGTCCTTTTCTTAAGTTGCTTACAAATGTGTGTACTCTTCTGCTTTTGCGTGTAGTATTTTTCTTCTTCACTCTCCTTGGTGTGGCATTTTCATTAAGTACTGAGTGGTGGCCATTCTGGTTTTAGGAGCTGTTGGTTGCATTGCTGGGGGTTTTTCCATTCTTGCAAGTTGAGACCCTGCAAAGTTACTGAGAAGGCATTGCTTCGTGAGGAAATTGGAGAGAGATAAGGTTAGTGGCTTTTATCAATACTTGGGGATTTTTGCCTATGTTTGACTGTTTTTCAGACATTGCCTTTATAATTCTGGAGTTTTAGAGTGCACAATGACTGAAGCTTGTTTCTGAGGTAATGTCACAACTGATATTATCTAAAAATATGCTGAGGTAATTTAGAAAACCTGTGATTACTGGATGAAGTAGCCATTAAATCAAACTTTAAAAATCTTGTCTTTCTGTTATGTGCACAAAAAGGAAAAAAAATAAATCATGAGTTTCACTTTTTTTTTTTTAAATTCTCATTCCTTTACACCTGGTAGAGTTCTGAAACTCTAATCTGCTGAATTACTGCTCTGACAGCAAGCTGTACAGAGCTGTGCTGCTGATCTTAATAGGGTGATGACCCCCTTATTTGTGGTTCTAGTTGTCTCATTCTGGGTAAGAGAAACATGAGATGTTGGCTCTCAGCCATTCAGACCCTTTCCTGGCTTTCTGATGAGTATGGAAGTACCAGATAAATTTAAGTATTTTAAGTGCTTGAAGATAAATAAGTACATCCAATTTGCTATCCTATTGTTAGAGAGAACTTTTATCTTTTCCTGCCTTCCCCCCCC